AGAGGCAACAGCATTTTCCCCAGCATAGCAGGGTAGCGAGCTCTTGATAAAACTCCCAGCAGTAATATATATCTGCTTTCCTATGTCAGCCTTCTATTCTGACCTCTTGCTGAGGAAAGGAGAGGACTTTCCTTGGCTGGTTTGCCCTCCTGTCATCAAGAAACCAATTTCTGCCACCTGGTTTGATGGCTGTGGGCCCAGGACAGATTACCATCTTCACTCTCTCTCCCTGTCTCTCTCTATTCTCTTAGAAGTCTTCTTTGGATCATCTTCCCCCCCTTAATTAAAAAAATACACACATGCAACAAAAAAAAAATCTCTATTCTGACACATCGTATCTTCCAGACTACACATACATCCTCCATGTTAATGCTTTAGGGGTTAATAGGTTTACTTGCAAAATTTCACTCCCTCTCCTCACACTTGTCTTTCCTGCTCTGCCATATGTGTCCTAAAATCTGCCTTTCAGTTTAGAGCTTGTTAATTTTCCAAATAAAAATGTACCTCTGAAAGCTACATCATCACAACATCCTGCACTTAAATCATCTGAATATTGGAGAGCACAAAGGAGACTTTGCCTGTTTTCTCTGCCTGCAGTGATGCAATAGGAATGCAATACGCTTCTCATGGACAATTAGGGCACGTATCACTTTTAGGTCCGATGTAAATCAGATTACATGCTCAGGTACTGGATTACTTACCTTGTAGTAGTTGTGCTCTTCATGGGATACAGGAAACAGCATATGGGTTAATTATAGATCTAGAAGGCCTTCGTTGTTGGGTGATATTTTGGATGGGTTGATATATGTCAAATTCTATTATATTGTAGACTTTTTGTGAACGGTGAAATAAGATCATAAAAGTTTTGACTCTGAAACTGCTGAAGTCAACTCTGTTTTTATTTTCCTCTGAGTTCAGAGTTTAAATGAAATATGTGTAGGTGCACGTGGACTGTATTCTTAGGAAATGTTCTGCTTCTTATCCTGTGACTTCTGGGGCTAAAACAAACCCTGTATGATTTTGGCACTCTTTGCTTAATGCTCCAGATGTCTAGTTTCTTCCTCATACGATTTTTTTCCCTTTACCATGTAAAAAGCATTCAACTGTAAGAGCTGTACCTAGTATACAATACCTAAACACCAATCTGCTAGAATCTGGTTATTTTGTGATTTGTCCATGATACAGAATACATCCAGATACAAGATAACACATTTCTACAAGCAATAGAAGATATACTAATGTGCAATAAACCACTAGTAAGAATAAGGAATCACATAAGGATACTTCTAAAGCATCATATTTGAAAAAAGTATACTTATAATTTTTTTAAAGCAATCCAAGTAATTTTATCAATGTGGTAAATCAGCAGTGATTGTTCTTTGATTGGTATAGGCACGTGCATGAGCAGTTTCTTGTAAGTCAGTCATGCCAAAAATATGCTGGTCTGCATTGTTAGTGTGTGGATGTAAATAATGCTAAATCCCCCACTTCAATTTACTTTTCTGGCTTTATTTTTTCTTAAGATGTAGAAGTGTGTGGGTTTGGGTTTTTTGTGTGGAATTGTAATAAAACAATATTCTTTTATTGCAGCACATCACTGAATGAGATGGTCTGGCTATATTTTTTGTTAGCTCACGGCCTTGAGAAGAGAGCTAGGAGCAGGGCTGCTGAAGGCAGTGAGAATACACAGCATCAGTGAGGACTGAGTCATTATTGCTTTCTTTGAGATAGAATAGAGGACAGAAACAAATTTTCCTGATGAAGTCAGACCGCTGTCTAAGGTATTTCTGTACAGTTACTTAGAAAGTGTCATAGGCCTCCAGGTTGTGCTCTGAAATACTCGCATGCAAGCCAGCCCCGTGTACTACATCAGCCCAACCTTGCACACAAGCTGGTAAGCTCTGCTGAGGGGTGAAATATAGGATATTGTGTTCAGCTTTGTGCTGATTTGGTTAGAGAGCTTCCTGGCTACAGCTGGTGATAAGCCAGTGGGTTCGGAGCATGGCCAAAGTGAGCAAGCAGCTATCTGCATCTTACAAAGTAGATGTGCCCCTCTTTAATGAGAAAGGCAAACAGGAGTCTGCACTGTTGGGGGCGTGAGGTTTGGGGTTTTTCTGTTAGTTTTCTGGCACTGAAAATTGGAAAGAGCTTTTTGTGTATATTCAAGGAGCTGTGGGTTATGTCCTCTACATATTTCTTTTAACATGATACCTATTGTGTTATGCCAGGCTGAAGTCTTGGACTGTAAGTGATTTGATTCAAATTACAAAGTAAACAGGGGAGGAAGTTGGTGGAAACTGGTGTTATTTAGGGAAGGGCATCCTTAAAACTGTGTTGCAGTGGGAGGTTGGAGACACAAGCATCTGTTATGTGGATAAATTTAGTTATAAAACCCGGTTCCCTTATAGTCAGTGGAGCATACCTATCAAATCTGGGACCTAGCTCACCTGCTTTCCATGGAGGATTTTCATCTTGTTGGAGCAGAACTGTAGTTTTGACAGACATGCTTGATTAGAATAAATGGAGCATTCCTACCAAATGCAGGCAACTAATGAATCCATGGGTAAGCTCCATTAATTTCAATACGGTGTTAAATGTGTTAAATGTTATGAGAGCGAGGTTGCTGTGTATGTGCACTTACCAATTTTCTTAATGCTAAATTGTAGCTGATTTTAAGTTCTTTTTTAAAATTCCATAAAGCATGAGTATAACCAATGTTTTCATATTTAGAAAGGTAAATAAGCATCTGTTCTGTGGTGTAAAAAACAGGAAAAATAATCTGAAAATATTTTTTGGTAGGATCTCCCATTCAAAAGTGGCTTCATTTAGTGCCTTCATTTTCAGATAAATTGTTTCAGGCCCAGACAAAATTTTTGCCAATTTTCATCACAGAACAAATTTTGCATTTATACTCATCCCCTTCTCCCCCCCCCAAAATAAGATTTCTGTTATATAGGAAAACAACAACAATAAACAGCCTAAACAACAATACCATAAACAGGATGATATAATTTGCGTTGTTATTTTACAATGCATCATTTCCTGTGTATTTCCATGACTCATGTCACATCAACAAACACTAACTTAAACTCCACCTATTTTCTAAAAAAATGTCACTGATAAATTTGGTCCATGGAGTTTTAGGAAATGTAAGTTTCAACATAGGGTAGATAGGTGGCATGCCAAGGAGAAGAGTGTAAGAGAGTTATAACAGGCCATTCCTCCTCCTTTTAGCATCCTTGTGAGGAGCATGAGTGATTTGCACAGTATTTAATCCCATTTACATCCAGTTAAATAAAGGTATCTTGTCCTTTCTGTATCCACACTTTCATACACCCCACCTCCATCTTTCTGCACTTCCTACAGAGACTTGCATCAACGCTTGATAGGAAATCAAATCCTGCTGTAGGTTTTACAAGAAGGGAATACAAGCAGATATCAGTTGACTCTTCTTTTAGTCTCTCTTGCTGGAACTTTGTCTTTGGGGATTATCTCCATTGCAAGACAACCACCTTTGCTGGGAAAAGAAAGGCTAGAGATTCCTTACAACACTTGCACTGTTCAGTGTATATACATAACCTTACATAATGAATCACAGAAAAGCCATGGCTTTGCCTGGTAATGTCTTGACAACATCCAAGTTTGGAGATTCTTCCACCCATCTGGTAAACCTGCTCCAGTACATTGGCCTCCTAGAGAAGTTTTTCCTGACGTCCAGTTTGAATGTCCCAACCCGCAGTTGGTGGCTGCTGTCCCTGGTTATACCCTCTGAAGAGTTTCACAGGATCATAGATTGTCTCCACAGTTTCTGTAACTCCCCTTCAGGCAGTGCTGGGCTGCAATTAGATCTCTCCCTGCCTCGTAACCTACTCTTTGCCAGACAAAACAAATCCAGCTCCCTTAACCGCTCTGTCAAGTCACCTGCTTTAGGCTTCAGCTGCCATGGTGGTCTGCCACAGACCCCTCTCCTGCTTCTCAGCAGCCTTCTTGAACTGTGGAGGGGAAAGCCGGACACATTATTTTAGGTGCTGTCTTACCAGCACTGAGCAGAGACTTTTCTTGATCTGCTGGCTGTACGCTGAAAGTGGCCAGTATGAGATTTGCTTTATCTGTGATCAGAGAGTATGCCGTTGGCTCATTTTCAGCTTGGCACCAATGATCACCTCCAGGTCCTTTTCAGCAAGGCAAAAATGTCTCTAAAGATAGATGCACCCTTGGGGAGGGGGAATGCAATCTTTAAAACCAGCAATAACTGCTTTGTCCTCTCCCCTTTCAAGAAAGAAAAAAAATCTCTCTGACACTTCCTTGCGAGTATGTAGTTGGGAAGAATGATAATGTTGGAAGGATGATAATGTTGAAAGGAGGAAACAGCCAAAATCTGTTTTTTCAAGGTATCTCCAGGTAAAGCAAAGTCTCTAAAATGAAGCCACTCCTAAATTCTGTAACTGTTAGTAAAAATAACTTATTTACCCTACAGTATTAAATCACAAGCTTTCCAAGAATATTTTTGCAAAACATTCAAATACGAAGTTAAAATAGCAAGGAGGCTGTCATCGCTGCTAATGCATTGAGTCCTGTATCTGTCTACGTATTGTTACAATAAAAATAAATAGAGCACATAAGCTCACTTTCTTTTTTCGGTATTGGCTATAAGAAAAAGGTCGCTTTTCAACTTTTTCTAAAAACATCCCTCAGTGGGATGCCTGTTATGTATGGATCTTTTTGCTGAAAGGAAACTGAAAAAAACTAAACAGAAAACGAAACCCCTTTTGATATAAGTGAAATTTTGTTCAGTATTGACTATTATTAGCCAATAGATGATAAGTAGGCAGATTGGATAGATGTTTCTTGAAATCCTCTGTAGTATGCAGGACATGCTTTCATTGTGCTTCCTGGCATTATAAGGTAATATGCCTTATTTGGAAATATAATGATCAGTTCTGTTAAATCATGTTCAATCAGCTTATATAATAACACCTATATTTTGTTATTCATTTCAGATTTCAGAGACCTATGCCTTCCTACCGAGAGAAGCGGTGACACGATTTCTAATGAGCTGCTCAGAGTGCCAGAAAAGAATGCATTTAAACCCAGATGGAGCAGATCATAAAGGTAGTTTTAGTGTCAAATACTGGGATGTAAAGTCATTTTATTCCTAATACCCATTTATATTTTCCTAGCTGAAGTGAGGGTTCATAAAAATTTGGTAGACTGGAACAGTTCAATAAGTCAGATCATCTTATTTACTTAAGCTGGAAGACAGTGAATCTTCTGCTTTCACTTAAGGATGGAGTGTAATACCGTATGCATCCTCAATAGAAAGATGATTTTATCTGGAGGAAATAATTTATTTTGCTATGGAAATGTTTATATGAGGGCTTAAACATAAGGAATAGGTAGGGTGCACGTGCTGTAGTCATTTAGGGTAGAAGAACTCATCACTTTTCAGGGTTTGAACTTGATTTTCTTTTTTCTACGGGAGACTTCCATCTGTACAGCCTTCAAGGAATTGAAAATGCCAGAGAGAACTAAATGACATAGCTGTCTGACTTTGACTGCAGAGTAGGCTCAAGTAGCCTCCACAATTAATATATAATGCATAATAAATATTTTTATTGCAGATAACGGAAAACCTCCAACTTTGGTGACCAGTATGATTGATTACAACATGCCAATTACTATGGCTTATATGAAACACATGAAGCTGCAGCTGCTAAATTCACAGCAAGATGAGGTAAAACCTGAAATCTTTTAAGTTTGTTTTTCTCTTCTTCTGTGTTCTTTGGCGCTTGTCTTTGTGGTAGCCAGGAAACGGAACTGAAGGTGATTGTTGATCCCATCTTTATAATTTTGTTGCTAAAATAGTGAGTCTGAAACCAAACCAAGGCTGTTTGCAAGTAATCAGGTTGAGAGAAGATGTCATGACTTACCACCCTTCCATGGTTGGGGGTAATATGCTGTACTGCTTCAAATTACCTGAAGGTGCCCTTTTACTGTCTGGAGCAGCAGAAGGGTTAAGGGGGGTGGCATGTGCACCCGAGACTTAGTGCTGTGCTCAGCAGTGACTTTCATTGTCTACTTCTGGAAAGCAATACCATCAACAGCTGAAATGAATGGCGTGGTGTTCTCAAGGTTAGCAGCCAGGATGCAACACATTATAGTGAGATAGATAGAAGCCCTGGCAACATTAGTTGGTATCTTTAAGGCAAAAAGCTTGATAAATAGGAGTAGGGGTTGCTTTTGAAACTTTGAACAAAAAGACAGAATCAAAAAGGAAGAGAAGAGGGCTGAGAATCAAGGTTCTTCAGAGAGAACTGGAGTTGAACTGCATTTATTTCTTCTCAAAAATTATTTTCTTTCTGTGATTTATTCAACGTTTTACCAGATCTTAAGAAGTGCTTCATCAGTTGGATGGCACCTACCAAATTATTTGTAATAAATTGATTTTGCTAGAAATGTGTTCATTTACCATTTGAGCTGCCAAATCTTTAGAAGCCCGGCTATGTGCCAGCCAAAAAGCAATCCTGCATGCTGTGTCCTTCTGCCTGACTACAAGAGGTTTTTTTAATAAGGAAAACCTTCAAAAACAACCTTAGCAGCTGGATTATGTCAAAGACCCTGACTGACTCCTGACTTCCGTGGAATCAGCCAGATTTGGTTTCATAATAAGTAGATATGGGCTATCGGTGGAGATTTATGAATTATTCAACACCCCATAGAACGGGGATTTCATCACTCTTCTAGAAATATCAGGATCCTTGTTTCGCTTTTGCCTTTTTTTTAATTGTGGAGGGTGTGGGGAGAGATCCCCTAGTCTTTGAGTTCTTCATGCACAAATACAGCCTGGTCATCTTTCCCTCCTATTGAGTCTCCCCTCTGCGTGCTGCCCCTTTTCAGGAATCTGGCAGCAGGGTTTCAAGCAGCAGGAGAGAAGAGGCTTTATCCCTGCAGTAGCCTTAGGAGTTAAAGGAGTCTGTTTTTTCCACTTCCTCCCTTTGAGAATTACTCCTCCCACAACAGGGTCAAGGGCTCATGCTGGATCAGGGCCACCTGCCACAGTGCCTCTACAGCCCAAATGTTTCGGTGTAGTCTTTCTGGTCTGATGACTGAAATTTGCATTAAACCGTTTTTTTGTCTAGATGAACCGGTGGAGATGATATATATGGTGGCAGCAGGAAGCAGCATTGCCTGGTGTCTCCCTGCCCAGCTTGATTTTGCAGCTCTAATGTTACTGTGTATGAAATGTTTGTAGCACTGGATTTATGAAGATAAAAGTAATTTTTGATCTGTTTTAGTAATAATGTCTTTGCCAGGGCAGAGTGGGCACAAGGAAAGTTCTCAAGATAATCTTTACGTCTTTTCTCAAGGCAGAGTTTTGCTAAGAATTTCTTTTTCCTTCGGGCTGTACATTTGTTGCACTGAGAACAAAATGGCACTGAAAATGGTGTAGCACAAAGCAGGAAGATTTTTGGTGCATACATTCAAGCTATTTAATGCACTTAAAAAACATGCTTGGGTTTGTAAGAAGGCTCTATTTGCAAGGTTTCATCAATCCTATCTGTATTCTTGTGGAGGGTGTGGAATTGAGACAGGAGTAAACTTGGATCCCACAACTAGCTAGCACAGTGACTGAAAGCCTCCTAATTCTCTCATCGTCAATTCATCATTTTGAAGCTGAGGCCATCGATGAAAGGGAAACAGGCTTCATCTAACATTCCCACACTCATCGCTGTGTGGGAATTTACAGCTGTGGTGCAAGCGGTACATAGATGCCAGTGGTTCCCAGCATCTCTCCCCATGCCTATGTATCCACGCAGATTCAGATAAAAGTTTACACAGTTTGGAGAGTGAGGTGGAGATATTCCGCAGAGTACTGTAGGCAAACCCAGGCTGCCCATGTGTGTTGTTTTATACCTATGCAAGCATTGGATAGCCAGAGCTCCCTTTCTGGGAGCCCATACAGATTGCCTAACCTCAGAAATGGAAAATGTAAGCTGCTGCTTGCTGGTTCCTGCAGGATTCAGTGAGAAATACCACTGTGTCTTAACAGAGGCACAGCCCTCCAGAAGGTCTGGGGGAGTTTGTGTTCTGATCTTGCTCTTTGAACAAGCAGTGTGCGTTTTCCCTAAACTTCAGAACCAGCTCAGTGTGTGCCTTGGCCCCATCTGTCTGGGGCAGGAGGCTAGTGGGCACCACAGTTCTTGTGTGAGGGCAGTGTTTGGGTGTTTGCTGCTGCTGTAACTGGGGTGCTCCCGCCTTATCTGGGCAAGGCAGACAGGTGCCCGCTAGAGAAGCCCTCGCTCTTCCATTTAGTTTTTTACAAAACTTTGAGAACAAGGTATGTTTGTTTCGTTATTTGTCATTGTCCTGGTGTGACGGTGCAGAACGGCATCGCCTTGCGTGTTGTCCCACTCTCACTCCTGAATGGCATTTGGCAGTACTTCATCCCAGTTTAACAAGAGTCGTGACTGCAGGGAACCTGCCCTCCGAAAACGAGAGAAATGTCCATGCAAGCTGGAAACATCACTGAGACCCAGGAGAGGAGTTGATTTAAGGGCCACTCAGAAAGAAGAAAGCAGCTATGTTAGTATCTGTAGAAACCAGTTCACAACAAGTACACAGTAAATCATATTCTAAAGATTGCTATTTTTCTAGGTCAATTCTGGTGAGCAACCCAGAAAAATAGTCAGAATCCTGTCAGTTCTGTTTTTGTTTAAAAAAAAAAGTACATTAATTGGAAAAGTACTTTAAACTGACCTTTAGGGGATACAAAATTATCTGCCATATTTTTCTCTATGTTCTTTAAAATGCTTTTCTTCATAACAGGAATAATTATCTCAGAAAAGTTGTTACTGAAAATATATCACCTTAGGTTTGTACGTCGGTTCAGGAGTTTACAGAGCAAGGCTTGTGGTTGCTTAATTTTTAATCCATGAGTGGGCACATGAACTTCAGTGGGACTGAGACAAGTGATGTTAAACATGTATGTGAACATTTGCTGGACTAGGTCCAAAACTGTTTTGCTTTTATAAATGGGGACAGAATATTTGATCGGGACTTTTACTTTCTGCCCTCTGCTATCATCCCTAGTAGATGCTCTGTAATTAGTCTTGATGGATAAATCATATTAAAGATGGGTAAGGTAGAATAAATTTGAAGTGATTCTTGTGATTATTTACTTTGGTTTGCCATTGACTGTCATTTGAACATGCTCAGAACTTTTATAAGCTTTATAACTTTCATAGATGCTTCTTTAAACACAGTAGCAGTGTAAGGGTGACATCATGGCAAGGGAATTTGGTCACGGATTCTTATTAGGTCAAGTTGCCATTCGGAAATACCTTACTGTGAGTGGTCATCACGGGGTTACCGACCTCGCTTGGGAAAGGTAGAGGATTCAGGCAGGGAATGTGGAGAGCTCTCCTCAACCAAATTTGAATAAGAAGGACTTGGTATGGGGTCTCTGGTTACCAGCCCTCTTTTGCAAAATACTATGGAAACAGTTACAAGAGTGCCGTAATGGAGTATCCCCATAGTTGAACAAATTGCATTTGTCAGATTATCATATCACATAAACGCTGTGTTTTCCTTGCTCTTCTCTATGTGCTCTGCTTGTTTGCTTATATACACAAAGATTTAGCATGATTACACTCCACACCAGGAGTGAGTGAGACAAACAGGAGCGAGTGAACTGCACATATAATGTGAACAGCGTACGAAGTTTTCTGACACGTCTCTGAAATTTTCCATTTGCAGGATGAAAGCTCTATAGAAAGTGATGAGTTTGATATGAGTGACTCAACTAGGATGTCAGCTGTGAACTCCGACCTCAGCTCAAATCTGGAAGAGAGAATGCAAAGTCCTCAGAACCTCCAGGGCCAGCAGGATGGTAAGGCTCTCGTTTCGTACAGAAAATGCGGTATTGCCTTGTCTTTTTCCCATTCTGTACCTTCATTTAGTACCTGCTGTGTCCTTTTCTTCATAGTGTGTTTCATTAGGTAATTTGAAATGTATGTTCCCTATGTCTCAGCATGAAGAAGATGGAGTTGGGTTTTTTTGCAGGCTAATTTATTTGTTGCTTAGGCAACAGGTGAGTGCTTAGACTGCTATATGTTAAGTATTATTATTTTACTATTTTTCTATATGTAGTGTGACCATACGCAGGCATAAAAGGAAATGAAACTCAAACCTTTCTGAGGAAACCCAGAAGGCTGAGAAAGTTGTTTTTACTGGTTGAAATGAGGGAGAGGGGTGTGACAGAAGCATGGTTATTTGAGAGCTAGGAATTGGGATGTGATATTCAGAAGAAAGGATGAAAAAGACAAACTCCAATAGGGAAATAGGGGTAAAAGAAGAGAAAACAGAACGAGCGGCATTGTAAATTTGAATGTTAATTATTTCTAGGTTAGTTACAACACAAAGCTGATTTGTTGGTGAAAGAGATGGAAGTTTTACTCTGCATAGAAGATGCATAGATGTGTACTCTTTGATTTCAGCCCTTGTTGTAGAACAAATTAGATGGGCCTGGTTTGGAATGAACTTTCTCCTTGGCTGTGGAGCTCACAAAGAGCTTGTCCACTACAGACTGCGACAGTGGCTTGTGAGTGGCACGTGAATGTGCAACACCCAAAGTGCAGGTCTATTCTATTGCTATTAGAAACAACACATTGGTATTCTGTACTTGTTACCCCGTAATTTCCTGATCACGTGTGCCAATTCAGAAGTGCTTCTTATATTTCTCCTGAACACTAAATACATGGGGTTTGACAGTTAAGCTGGATTCTTTCCACTTTATGCATCGTGGTCAATTGCTAGCTGGTAAGCTATTTAGGTGAGAATGGGTGTGCTGCATAGTGGCTGATAGGATCTGGTGATGGGTAGGACCTTCTGCTGCGTTGCTCTCCAGACAAATAAAGGAGGAGGATGTCTATGATAATTCGGTAGGCCAGATTCTAATCACAGCTGCCTTTTGTCTGAGTGTCCTCAAGCTATCACAAAATTTGTGCAACTTTTGACTTAATTTCTATCTGCGTATGTTCACTAAAGGAGCAGTTCTGATGCA